GTAAAAAGTATACTTAGCGGAGATTATACTAGAGTGCCGGCACGACTCGAACCGTAGGTAAGACGTTTTATTGCTAAAATTAATCTTAGCTAGCTAACCGGCGTAGCGGGAATAAGGGTCCTTAAGGGTTAAGCCCCCGGAGGCCCCTTCCTTAATATCTACTACCTCTTAATAAGGGGTGGTCGATGACGATAACGCTATAGTCGTCGCGGTCTTGCGTTTCTTAGAAGCGCTACTAGTCGCTAGCTTAGATACCGGCCGCTTATTATTATTATTATTATTATTATTAGTCTCCTTAGGAGGTATAATAGCGGCGGAGGAGGCTATATAAGATAGTTAGCGAAGCTATATAACTAGGGTTTTCCCTAGAACGGAGAGACGTTAGAAGGATACTTATAAGATAATAGGAAAAATCGTGAGAATAATAGTGCTACGACACGTTAACGACTACTAGAATAACGATTACGCCCTGCTCCTACGAGGAAAATACTATAAGGGTTAACTTACGGAATGCGGCGGATACGGTTAAAAAACTCGAAATCGGAGGCGTGTAGAAGAAGGAAAACGGAAAAGAATAGAAATAGGAGAGGCGTTAAGGAAGATATCCCTAAGAAGAGCACGTGGCCACCGTCCCTGCCTATAAAGAAGGAAGGCACGGGGGTGAAAGAGCCATAAGGGGGAAGGAGAGGAATTTCTATTATTAGATATATTATATAATCGGCGCCGGTTCTTTATATAGAATAGAGGGATATCGGCGCCGGTTCTTTATATGGATTAGAGGGATATCAGCGCTGGTTCTTTGTATGGATTAAAGGGATATCGGCCTTAGTTCTTTATATAGATAGAAGGGAGGCCGACGCTGGCTATGGTATAGGAGCGAGGGATTAAGGATAGGACTATGAGAGGACCACGACGAGATCGTATACGGGATTAGTAATAGAAGGACGGCGGGAATAGAATAACGGACTAAGGGTAAAACCATAACGGGACTATAATAGGGTCGTGTGCGGGATTAGTAATAGAAGGACGGGTAAGAAGGGGGGGAATATAGGCCGACGCCGGGTATAGTCGGGAAAAGTGGCCCTGTCCGGTACTAGCCGCTCCTAAGGATAGGAGCACTCCGGGGGAGGTCGCCCTATTACGTGCCCCTGCCTAGGAGATAGAGGCTGGGTATATAACGGGACCACGACGGGTTCCTTTATAAACGAGACCGGGCTCCTGTCTTAACGTGGCTATAGCTGCCCTAGGCCGATACTACCGTGTAAGGCCGTGGCCTAGGCTTAGGCGTAGATATCCGTTTACGATATCCGTTTAACTATACTAGCGTTAGCCTAGCAGTATATAGTGCTTATGTGGTGCCCCCTCCTTAGCGTGGAGAGGGCAGCGATTATTCTGATTCTTTAGGACCACCTACGTTCGGACTAGCCGTGACTACTACTTAATCCACGCCTATTCCCTCTTAGACCCTCTCGCTACTACCTTCTTACTCCTTATGATTACCTATCTAATAATATAATACTATTCCCGAGTAATAGGACGTATTGTAGCGAGGGTATCTTCTACCTAATAATATACCAGAGCTATCTTAATAATCCTAGTGTATTAGTATGCTGTTAGGGTAGCCTTCTAATTAGTAATCTACCTATCTATATCCCTAGGGATAGTCTTTAGCGGCGTTTCGATAAGCTAATAATATTAACGCAGAGCCTTATAGCGTTAATCTATAGGTATTAGGGCTACGTGCTTATAAAGGGTAGTAATCCACGCCCTCGCGTTATTTACTTAGTCTTCTTATAATGTTCTAAGGAGGTCCCTAAGTGTAACGTAGATTATAGCCAGGATATAGGAGCGTAGGGCGTTAATTTCTTATTCCTGACTATCGTAGTCGGCCTTTTCTTTGCGATATACGCGGCGGCTTTAAAGTAATAAACCCTATCTTAATCTAAGAGGTCGTTAATTAACTAAGGCATCTTAACGCCTTTCTCGGCTTTATATTTACGTATAGTAGGTAATATAGCCTTAGATAAAAAGGAGGCTTCTGCTTTATTGTTATTTAGTTAAGGATTAAGGTAATTATTCTAAAGAGAGGAGAACTTCCCGCTGATACTATATTCCTATATAATCTAGTCCTTCTAGGTGGTTAGCATCTATTAATCGCGGTGAACGTTAAAGGATATCTTCTATTAGTGAAGAGGTTACTATAATTAGATTAATAATAGTCGATTAAATGCTTATAACGTGGTTACTTTTATAGTGGAAGGGTAACAAGGATAGCTCAAGGGTATAGAAGATATTAAAGATGGTAAGTGGCTTTAAAGCGCTATAAACCGGGCTTATAACTACCGCACGTTAAGATACACTCATCTAACTCTTCTAATTTAGGGGAAATATTCGCGTGTGTATATTATATTAAGTTATAACGTGTACGAGACTATTTACCCTATTTTTATAAGGGGCAGTACTCTTCCAGAAATACTACTCTATTTAGATCCTATCCGGGATTTTACCGTGGGTCTACCTTTGTTATTTCTACCCCTAAGGCTCGTGCCCACCCTTGAGGCTTGTACTAATGCGATAATATCCTCCACTATCGGGCGGGAGACTATAGTTTAACTGACTATTGCCACCCCCCCCCTAGTGACCTGACTATTGCCCCTGTGCTACCCCCTATACCTCTCCAGGGATTAGAAACGTCAGCTCGTATACAATCTAATATAACTGGCTAGGATAATAGGAGACCCCTGCGGGCCATAGTATAACCGAATATATAATATATTTACCTATTTCTTAAGTACCAATATCTATACAAAAAGAATAATTCCCTTAATAATATCTATAACACTATTATTAAAAATCAGTATTATCTCTATCCCTCTTAATATACTAACATAGGCGGTAAGGCATCGTACAAACTAAACGCTCTAAAAAGCTCCTATTAACAGCCTTCCAGGCAGCCTTAATAGCTGCCTTTAGCTCCTTCCATTCTATCCACTAAACCTATAGATATTAACTCTTAATCTAGCTCTTTATAAAGAACCACATATACTTTATAGAAGCTAGGTCTAAAGAGTAGGGGGGGCAGTCTATTAGTAGGATATCATAATCGTTAAGCCACTTTTTAACGTTTCTGGATCGGTATAAGGGGGCGCCGTTATACTAATATATCCTATATAAAAGACGATCTTCTATAAATCGTAGGATGTACAGATAGATACATTTAACGTATTTATCCCCGTTAACGTCTTTATATTCCTTAGACCAGATATAGCAGGGCCTTTTTATACGCTCTATAATAAAGCCCTAGCATATCTAACCCTCGGGGTTCCGATATAGTAGCAGGAAGTCTTTAGGACGTTCTATATTATAGACTATTACTTATTACTTCTAGAGCGGATTATTTATAGCCTAGGTGTTATTAGCTATTATAATAGAGTTATTAATCTAATTGTCGGGTGTTAAGAAAAGCTTTAGTATATCTATAGCGAAGGATAGGCGCTTACGTCTATATTCTTCCGCGAGATAGATCTTATATAGGCGGATACGGTATAAGTACCTAAGATCTTTTCTCGTAGACTATATAGCCGTATCGCTATATAAGGAGAGACTAGGTATAATAAAGCGTAGGTCGCGTTATATATATATACGGTAGTACTAGTCTTTCTAAATCTACTCGTATATCTGATATCGTAGAGGCGTGCTACTTTTCTTCCTCCGGGTACTAAACCTCTAAGGCATGGCCGCTTTAGCCTAGTAGACGTACTAGACTTAATGTTCGTGACTCTCTAGCTAATAGTCTAAGATATTATAGCTGCTATACGGCTATAGCTCTAGCCTACTATACGTTAAAGCCCCCGAAGCGTTAGCCTTAAGTCTTTAGAGAGCTCCTTAGAACGTCTTTACGGGGCTTCCGCCTATAAAATTAGTAGGAGGACTTTTTGACTAGCGGCTTCAATATAACGGTTATTAACCCGGTTCAATTATTCGGTATAGAGAGAGGTAGGAGGTTAAGGAATACTTGCGTTCCTATATAGCGTAGCTCTACTAAGGGAGTCATCGATAATAGGAAGCCGCCGAAGCTATAAAAGAGATATTAAAGGGCGTTAAATCTTGATATCTTCCGCGTTAGCGTTAGCTAAACACAGAGAAAGCAGGGCAGTATTAGCGGCTATATTAGAAAGAGCTTCTTTTAAAAATTCTAACGGTGGCTTTAAAATACAGATTAGTATAAAACTAGTGAAGTTATAGTAAGTTAAAGTTAAAGGCTTTCGTGGTATATCGTAAGGAATCTAGTCATGGCTTGAATCAGCGTGATATTAGCCTCGTTACTCCTAGTAGGGATATTTAGATTTATATCTCTTTATATAAAATAAGTGGAAAATTACAGATTAGCAGTGTAATCCAATAATCGATTAAGACGTAGGGCTAAGTTTCGAGCTAACGTTTCTAATCTCTGGAGAGGTGTACTGGCGTAGATATAACCTGACCTGACTAATGCTGTAGCCTTTGCTTCTTATCCGACCATTGCTCGCTAAGCTAGCAGGAATAGTCGGGTAAGGTCCACGGGAAAATAATAAAGGGGAATTAAATCCCTACTATAATAGTGACTAAGGTATAGGGAATCACACTTATAACCAGGTCACGTGATATATCAGCACCCTTCCGCCCGTTAACCTCACCCGACCGTTACTGCTGGCTTGGCGAGCAATGGTCGGGCGAGAAGCAAAGGCCAGAGGAAGGGTCAGGTCAGGTGAACTTTACGCTAGCAGGGGGCAATGGTGAGTTGAGCTGCAACCTCCTCTCGGGCGGGCCGGGCATGGCTACCTACCCAAGGTAAGGTAGTAATGGTTCCTGGTCACGCAGCCTAAGGTAATTCAAAGTCGGTAACACGAATTGGATGCGGAGTACAACGTACGTACTCTTCCCCTCTCCCCTCAGTCCCCAAAACGACATACTCTATCCACCTATCCCGTCCTTCGTACTCTCCTTCGACTTCGAGGGGAGATTCGACTCTCCCCAGTCGCCGGTGACACACGACACAGGAACATTCCAAGAGTCAAGGGCCGGAAAATAGGCGACTCTGATGGACGTTGAGATGACCTCCGACGGCCAGCCGAACAATTCGCCCCCAGATGCAGGGCTTTCTCATCCGCCCGCATCAGCCCAAGGACAGGGCACTGGTATCCCTAACACTACCGGGCAAATGAGCTTCAGGAGGTTTGCAGCGCCGCCCCCGTCCCAGTTTCAATAAAGCTGTCCTTTCATTACAGCTGTATTTACTGATGAGCATATTTGTCCGAATTAAGACAACGAGCATCTAGAGCATGTGAGGTACGTCGCTTCGGTCCAATTCTAGCTCCTTCTTGCGCTTGATCTCGTCCCGTCCCTGGGATACCGCGACTCCTTTTGCACCTGGCTTACATAGAGGCATTACGGCGTCTCGCATCGTCCCCCCCTGGCGACCACTGGCGCATCACATATGTCTCGTGAATGAAGGTCGCGAGCCATGGGCTAACTCTTCACTCGCACAGACTTGCCATGCAAGGAAGGTAATGACTACCCGCCAAAGAGACCTTCCCCACTGGTCCCTGACAGCCAACTGCGTTTGCAGGTCCGGTGTGATGCGGCGAGCCTCGGCGTTCCCTGCACCAACTGCGCCGCCTTCCAGATCGAATGTCGCATTCCCATCCCCAAGAGAAAGAAAGCCCACAGTTCTACTGGGGCCAGAGACTCAGATAGGTCTGTCACCATTGTGCGCCCTTTCGTCCGGATTACTTCTGGAGTGTTGACCGCGAGCTGATTCTTGGTTTCTTGTCATAGCGACAGAGGGGATGCGACCACTTCCATCGCAGCCCTTCCGGCTACCGAGGGGATATCCCCACGGCCCGTCAGCACGAGCGCCAACCTCGACAACAAAGGATTTACCTCTCAGACACCGGACCTGTACCACTCGAGCGATGGTAACCCTCCCACCCAGAGCGAATCCCAGACGAGGAAGGAAGAGATGGACAGCGATAACTACCTTAAATTGGTCATGAAGCCGAAATTCACACGTGCACCCATCACGGACGCTGGTAGGGTGGCTTTCCTGGGTGAATCCTCCAACCTGACGCTTCTCGTACACGATCGTCAGGGCACGACTGATGTCGTTCACTATCCTCTCCCGGAGAGCGTGAGGGGCTCGAGAGCTAGGTTAACTGAGCTCGACCACGTTGAAATTGACATCCTTCAGCAGCGGGGCGCCTTCCTCCTGCCCCCGCGTTCCCTCTGCGATGAACTTATCGATTCCTACTTCAAGTGGGTCCACCCGATCGTGCCCGTCATCAACCGCACCCAGTTCATGAGACAGTACCGGGACCCAAAGAATCCGCCATCGCTGCTCTTACTCCAGGCCATCCTTCTGGCTGGGTCTCGCGTCTGCACCAACCCGCAACTCATGGACGCAAACGGCTCCACCACACCAGCAGCCCTCACATTTTACAAAAGAGCGAAGGCTCTATACGACGCCAACTATGAAGACGATAGGGTCACCATCGTGCAGTCACTGCTTCTCATGGGATGGTACTGGGAGGGGCCGGAAGACGTGACCAAGAACGTCTTTTATTGGACACGAGTCGCTGCCATTGTCGCTCAAGGGTCCGGGATGCATCGCAGCGTTGAGCAGTCGCAGCTCAGCCGGTCGGACAAGCGTTTGTGGAAACGGATCTGGTGGACTCTGTTCACTCGTGACCGATCCGTCGCCGTCGCCCTTGGCCGTCCTGTCCAGATCAACCTGGACGACTCGGACGTTGAGATGCTCACAGAAGATGACTTCATTGAGGACGAGGCCGATCGTCCCAGCGAGTACCCCCCAGATCTAGTTCACGTGCAGTTTTTCATGCAATATGTGAAGCTCTGTGAAATCATGGGCTTAGTCTTGTCACAACAATACTCGGTGGCGTCTAAGGGTCGGCAACGGAATGCCATTGATCTCACACACAGTGACATGGCTTTGGCAGATTGGCTGCAAAACTGTCCCAAGATAGTTTATTGGGAGGTGGCGCGACATCATTTCTGGTCGGCACTGCTGCATTCCAACTACTATACGACCTTGTGTCTACTGCACAGAGCTCACATGCCACCGAGCGGAGCGTCGGCAGGGTTTCCCGATAACTCGCCCTACCCTTCACGGAATATTGCGTTCCAGGCGGCCGCAATGATAACGTCCATCATTGAGAACCTCGCAGTGCACAAAGAGTTGCGATACTGTCCGGCTTTTGTCGTTTACAGCCTATTCTCGGCCCTCATCATGCATGTTTACCAAATGCGGTCTCCAGTCCCATCCATCCAGCAAGTGACCCAGGACAGGTTACGCACATGCATGCAAGCATTGAAAGATGTTTCGCGGGTATGGCTGGTGGGAAAGATGGTTTATACTCTTTTCGAGTACATCATTGGTAATAAGGTGTTGGAGGAGCGCTTGCAGAAAGCAGGAGGGAAGAGGCACAAAAAAGCCCACCAGCAGCAACAACATCCGCACCAACAGCAACAGCAACAACATCCACAACAGCAGCAGCAACAACAACAACGGCAAGATTGGACCAAGCGCAAGTATGATGATATGGTCATCGATTTCAGTGTTAATCAACCAACACCACAAGAATCATACGAACGGTCCCGTCCGCAGACCCCGACTCACCCCATGAGGACCGAGACAGGCGGAAGTTCGCATGCCATGCCACCACCAGCGCTGTCCCCTAACCATCGTCCAAGCACAGATACCTTTATGGGAGGGACCTCCTCACACCCCCAAACTCGCCCAACAACACCGTTCAATCCATCATTCTCCGTCTCGGCCACAACGCCAGATCTGTATCTTGTGACTCGCAATTCTCCTAATATCTCCCAAGCGCTGTGGGAGAATTTTCAACCCGACCAACTATTTCCTGACAGCGCTGGCATGCCGGTCATGCCACAATTTTCGCCACCCCAAAGTCAGCAAAGTGCGGAACCAACCCTGGCGACACAACTTCAGATTCCCGACTCGCACCAAGCGCAACAACAACAAGGCCTAGGGGACCAAGGGCCCCGCTATTCACAACATTCCGACAGTGAGAATGGCCTGGGTGGCAATTCCGCCCAGGGTCAACCGATATTGCAGCCTGGCACCATGGGAGCCTTTCAACACCAGGGGCAGAGCAACTTATGGCAGCAGCCCCAGCCCCAATTTGACAGACTGGCCCCGGATAGTCAGAGCCCGAGCGACAGCTGGAGCACCGGATCCGTTCAGGGGCAGCCGGTGCCCAATACGTTGAATGTCGAAGACTGGTGAGTCGCTTCGAGAAGATCACTACACTATCTGCCACACATAGCCTCTTAAGACTGACTGAAACGCGGTGTTGCCTAGGTTTCAATTTTTTGGCATCAACAATGGTGATTTAGCCGGGATGAATCTTGATCTGAATGCTAATCATTAGGACGCAGTCCACTTACTGTTGTTCGCCTTCAGGATGGTTGCTTTTTTCTGTACAACTCCAGTCTATAGATATATGAAGTACAGCGAGCGTGTATTTAGGAGTCGAAGCAATCGGCAGGCGTCCGGTGGGAGGTTGATACAGATACAGCTCTACGATTTGTTTGAGGAGTTGGGAGGGACCCCAAAAGAGATCACGGGGGAATAGATCTTCCTACCATTCATTTCTGACGAGAACTTCGGAGATTGAAATACGCGACGAGTCGATTTTTATAGGAAAGTGCGATCTGCAACTATGTTCCCGGATTGTCTTCCTCGCCAACGCAACAAGTTCCAGAACCTGAGTAGCTAAGCTGGCTGGTAGAGCAACACTTGTTTCAGTGCTTTGTGTGGTATAGATTACCTGTACGAAAACCTCTAAATCCTCCACGCTAACGCCGTCATCCCATGCTTGGAGAATGTGTGAATGATGAAAGATAACAAGCCATAATGATACCACCGCGTCTAGCCCCAGAACAGGCGGCCGCCTAAATGGTATAATTGACCAACAACAACAACACCAACACCAACACCAACACCAGGCAAGAAGAACTCGGGCTTTCCTCTCACGGAACATATTGCAAACTTATTTTGACTTGTGCTCCTTGTATCCGTAGGCATCGCCGTTGTGTCTGCCTTTCGACAACAAATTTTGGCCCGCGGTCGGCCCACCGGAAGGAAACGGCGGCCTTTCCGAGTGCACAAGGCCCGGGCCGACCGCCGAGCCTGTTGGCCTTCCATCATCGCTAAGAGTATCGGCCAGCTCTATGAGGTCTGCGCCCTCCACCTGACTCGTGCTGCGGCTGTTCCAGTTCGATTGCGTAGAGGATGCACCCTGCCTTTTTGCAAAGGCACTGCGTAGCCATGTTTCTACTTGGGCTGCAGCCCGATCTAGCCCGGATCCCTGTCTTGAAGTCGAGTCCAAGTCGTGACCTTCGTCGAAGGGACTCTCCACAATGGTCGCAGAATTGTCGCGCTCGTCGGGCTTCCCAAACCCGAAATTGGCAGTCTCTGATCCCATGACAGATATCGAGGGAAGTGACTCGGAGATGGCGATAGCGGGGAGATGGCGCTTGGCCCAAGCATTCAAGGGGTCCGATTCGGGGCCTGGCGAGCGCACATTCCTCCCCATGGAACCAACCCCTCCCGGCCGGCGCATCCAAAGAGGTCGGCCATCAGCGCCGGTACTGCTAACTCGACTCCTGGAAGACCCAGAAGGGGACTGCCGGTGGGGATCCGGTTTCCTCTGACGTCTGCCAGACAGCGTGCTGTCACGGCCTGGACTGCCGCCCAAAGCATCGGCGGCGCCGGGGGCATCCAGGGACTGCCTTGGGGTTGAGACAGTTGATGTCGTATGCAAGCTCTTTTTTCGTCTCGGCGGGGGGCAGGCTATCGTCTTCTTCGCGATCCGGGCGATCTCGACTGGCTCGGAATGTGAATCCAGGGTGACCCATCGAACATGCGTCCATGGTCTCTCATCAAGTTCGTCGAGCCTCGCTGAATCCTCCGACTGAGTTTCATGAGGCAGGCCATACCAGTCGGTAGACTTCGATGATTGTGCTGACTTGTTAGGCTGCTGGTCGCGCAAATCCGGCTCAGTGCGAGTGGATGGCTCAACCGCTTTGTTGGCTTGATTGGGCGGCGGGGATGGGCGGCCGCGGATATCGCATGCGTCGACTGGGAGGGCCAGCCATGTGCGAATCTGTATATCCCTCGACCAAAGACCGTTGAGCATTCTAAATGCGTCCTCGCGACATCTGTACTTCAGGATAATGCCGGCGTACGTATCAGTCGCTTTAACGTGATGGATGTAGACCAGCTTATCCTCGGGTGACTCCTGGGCGACTGCATTGTTGCTGAGATCGTCCGACTTCCTCCTCTTGTAATTGTGCCTAATGTCCAGACCATCATCGACTCCCTTGCGGTATTCCAAGACACTTGCTGTTGTGTCGGCCGTGGGCAACGCATTTCTCTCGGCAGCGTTCTTTGCAAAAAATCCTCCAATATCCAGCTGCATGTTCACAGTTGACCTCGAAGCCCAGGAACCTATTTGATCCCGGAAGGATGAACTAGAATCGTCCCCCCGTGGTCTGGGCTTGGCGCCGTGACCGTTCACATGTGCTGTGCTGCTATCATGGGATAGAAGCGAAGATGCAAGCCCTTGGAGGGACGACCAGCCGTGTACTAACGAATTTTCAATGAGGCCCAGTGTGTTGTTCTCTCGTGATCCGGAATCACGGTCGAAATGCGGGTTGCTCACCGACCTCGACTCGCCCGCGCCAGCCGGGCGCCGCGCAGCAGCGATGGGGCTTGGGGTGCGACTCGGTGCAGCACTGAGAGGAGGGGACAGGGATGAGGAGCTTCGTGCAATTGGACGAGCATCGTCCTTGTTATCGGCGCTGATGGCATGGCGGGCGCGAGGGCGGACAGCATTGGAAGCCGTGTCGTGACGGGAAGCAAGGGCTGACGAGCCAATACGTGTCGTCGGCTGGCCTGAGTCTGTCATGGTCAGAGCAGGAGCGAAATCCAGCTCTTCGTCGGAGGACGGTCGGGCATCAGCACGCGGTGAGCACCATGAATCGGGTTGCGACGTTCATTGGGATGGAGCTTGGATGGATGAAGACGGTGAGGAGCCGTTGTGGCGGCGGCGGCGGCGGTGATAACAGGCGATGGCCCGCCAGCTCAGTTGCGGGTACTAAAAGCACAGGTTTCTCGAAAAATGAACGCAAAAATTCCACGGCAGCGAGATGCTTCAGGTCTAAAAGAATGGGGTGTCATTTATGCAAGAGAATACCAATAGTAGGAGGCTGACAATAATGAGGACTGAACGGTGGGGGACGGGACCAAGCTCAGGGGAACATGGATGGGATACGGACAGATGTGGGATGATCCGTAGGTAGTTCCCTACCTTAGCCAGTGGACCACAGGCCTCTTAACGCGATTTTCATACCCAGGTAACTTCAAAATACTAGAAATATATATATATAGACTAGTATAAAATATAGTCTTCATCACGAGTGTATAAGTCTTATAATACTATGGGATAGAGCTTATAAGATAATATATTGCTATTAGAAATTTATAAAAGTTCTCTGTAACTAGTTACAAATATATTGTTTTAATATATATTATAATATTAGTAAAAGTAAGTAGTAGATATCTTAAAAATAAGCTTTTACTTGAATTTAAATTATTTACCTATTTTAGTATTATGTAAGTATGATTATGTAGCTAGTAATTATGAAAACTAAACTACTAGCGTAACTATATATAATTGTCTACTATATTATCCGAGAGGAAAAGATACTAATAGAGCTAAGGAGACCTAGACTGCTATCGCGGCGAGGGCCCCCGCGGTAGTACCACTACAGGACCCGGCCTCCCCTAAAATAAGAGAGCTATTATTCCGACTATAGTTCGGTTACAGACCTATATTTATAACTAATTAGAAGATAGGACTTAGCTTACTACTATCTTTATACTACTCCAAGCCTATTATTAACTCTACCACGTAGTATTATGATCGTTGTCTATTAATCCATTAATTTATTAATCTATTAATCAACGCTACGATAGCGCTTCTACCGCCTATCTTCTTTGCCCTAGACTATAAAGATTCTGACGATCTTTTACTATCCGTAAATAATGACGTAAAGAAATACGACTACGCTATTATAATCCGTCGATCCTCTAATAAAGATAAAAGCGGCCGATACTAATAGAAGGAGCATTACTATAATCGTGGAGGTAGAGGAGCTTTTAATACTATGATCAGCCTTAATCGAACTGATAAACTGATCAGTTAACTATAATAGTGATAGGAGTAGTACTTAGATATTCGAGTAATAGGTAGATAGGGAGCTGGATTGTCTAATATGATCTTAATTAGTAGAATTTAACTAAAAAGTATAATAACGGGTATTAATCCGAGCTACTAATATTATCTTTACTACTGGCTTTGATTAATTAAAGGAGTTAAATTAGCTCTTATATAAAAGGCTTGAAAACGACGTTATAGTTGTTTATAATCGTTATAATCGACTATACGTAGTTATATATAGAAGATAGAATTCCGAGAAAGAAATTTGTGTGTCTACAACCGAACTATAGTCGAAATAACGGCTTCCTACTATCTAACCCCTGAAAAAACGTACAATACGTATTTGCGGGGCTTGGATAAACCAATGGTATCACGACAATGAGTACAACTAGATACATTAAGAGGTAGGAACTTTCTATAGGTTTAGATGTACTAAAACAGGGGGAATCAGTACTCTCTGAAACCACCTTATAGCTCCTTAATATATTAAATAGTAACTAATAGCTGTACGAACTACTTCCTACATAGTGCGTATATATATATCTAGTAAATAAATTCTTTCTTTTATAAAATAGCTATAGATAGATTCTACATTAACCTAAAGATATCTTATAATAGTATTGAAATTTGTTTTCGTATTAGTGCTATTAGTACAGGTACGTACCTCGAACCTTTTTAAACTTCCTAAAAGGGTAGTTTACGAAGTACCACTTTATATGTTTTTTCAGAGGTTATATAGGAAGTCGGAATAACGGCTCTCTAAAATAATATTCGCTCGGCACTACTAAGAACTTATAAGGAACTAAGTGGCACTATGGATTAGCACTATGTAGAATCGGAGATACGCTCGGGACCGCCGAGCATTCGAGGAGAGTAGATCGCCACTTTAGCGTAGAGGGAGAAAAGTCTCCCCTGTTCCTCCTCAAGTTAAAGTCTCTATGAAAGACGACTGTTAAGCTATAATAGTGTTATCCGTTATAGTTCACCTTTTCCTTGGTATTATAGCCTATTCTTTAACAGAACTAGGTATCTAGTATAGAGACTTCCTCGAAGACTAGCCTTTGTAAGCTAGATGTCCTAAAGGGATTGTCTAAGCCGTGAATACTACGACTACCTAATATAATACCGTAGTAGTACAGAAGCAACCTAGTATTAATATCTTTTCCTTTTTATTTTATTTTATTACGCGTATATAGCCCTAAAGCTACAGCGTGGCACCTATTGCCTTAAAGGCTATAGGCTAAGTAGAAGCTATATACAGTGAATAATAGTGATAGATAAAGGAAATTCTCCGAAATAATCTATCTAATACCCTATATAACAGGTAAAAGCCAAAGCAGGATAAACTAGACTATAAAACTCGGGGTTTACGCCCTATATAACTCTGCTAAAGGTATTTTAGTAGCTAAAAGATAGGTCTATAAGGGCTGTATACTTCTTTTAGTACCGAATAATAGCGGTAGAGATACCGGTAGGCCTGCTAGGGCTTCCCGCAGGGCTCTATATTCTTTTGTATAAAAAGGGCTAGAAAGAATAAGGTCGGCTATATCCTATACCGGGGAGCCGGGATAGGGATAGCGATCGTTAGTCTAATTCTAGGTGCTTTTTAGTGGGTTTTTAGGTATTCGAAGCCGGTGTTTAACTAAATACAAGCTGACTTAAGCTACTTAGGGTCTTATATTAGTAGTGGTTTCCAGGAAAAACGGAGGTTATCGTGGACTAAGCGCCTATAAGGGCGGCCTAAGCACACAGATTTAAGTCTTTTTTCCGCCTCCTCTTTCTCGTTCTATAGGGTTTTCTAATCTCGAACTAGGGCCTTATTTACCCGGCGTTTTAGGTGGCTAAGGGGAAGGAATTTAACGGACCTCGTAACTTTTTCAGGGTCTAACGCCCGTTTAGCCACTATCTCCGCTAGTCCGTTCCTTTCTATCTCTACGTGCGAGGGGCACCACGATATAGAAACCGAAATACCTAGTTATCTAAGGGGTAAAATAAAGTCTTTAGCTTCTATAGCCCACTATAAGGTGCGCTAAACCTTCTAAATAGCCGTCTATAGATCGCTAAAAATATAGCCCTTTAGGGGCCTAGGTAACTGCTCTAGGGCAGTCTAAAGAGCCTATAGAATAGCGTATAATTCAGCGTTAGCGACTTCAGCCGAGGGGTCTATAGTGGCCCTATACTAATGTCGAGTTAAAACCCATATTGTCACTCTTAACGCGTTCAAACGCGTTATTCTTCCTATAACCCTCTATCTTCAAGCAGTCATAATAATACGAGTTTAATAGCCATAGACTCCTAAATAGTATTATTCGCCTTTTAAACGAATAAGGATTATATCCGTAGTCGAAATAGAGCTAACGTATCGCGAGGTCGCGCGCACGATAGGCGTATCCCTAGAGTCTATTAATAGGATATATAAGCGATACTAAGAGCAGAAATCAGCTAAGTCACTACTATAGCCTAGCCGGCTATATTACCTTACTAATCGCGATATAAGGTACCTCCTTCGATTCGTTAGGCAAAACCCTTTTATTTCGTGTAAGGAACTTAAGGTCTAGGCGCGCCTTACCTATTCTATAGAGATAATTATTATTATTATTTATTACTCTGCTCTCGCTTAGCTAAGCTAGGCTAGCCACCTAGGCAATAGTCCTTGTCTAATTCTCGAGGGGAAACCGTTAATAGATAAAAACCCCTACGCCCTTATTATATAAGCAGTTCTATTATACGTGGCCGCTACGGTATCGCTCCGCGGCCCTATGTTTATCGCTATTCGAAAACCGGATCTTACCTCCGGGCTAGTAGCTAATAGGGGTCGGCTAGATAGTTTAGTAGGTATTATATTGGGTCGCACGCGTCCTCGGTACGCTATCGCTATAGTTACTCGCCGCCGTCCTTTCCTTTATTCTGGATCCAGTAAGGTTATTCACCCCTCGCCGCGGCACCCTTTATACCCTCCCTCTTTTTCTTTTATTAGGGGGGGGGGGCGCGCCTACCCTTCTTACTATTAGCGTTATAGTATCGTGATAGGATAGCTACGTAGCCTATAACTATATCTGCTATAAGCGGATTATCGTCGAACCGTTTACTAAGCTACTCCTATTTAGCGTATAGTAGAAGGCCTTTAGGGTTTAGCTTAGCGAGGTAAACTCGTTTCTTTATACGCTATAGGCCGATTAGGAAAGGTAGGTCCGCTATATTCTATACCTTGTAAGGAATAATATATTCGATAATAAAGTGGGGAACCTACCCGGCTACCGCGACCGGGGGGGCCATTGTATATCCGCGCTATCGGATAAGCCTAAAACGCTATTTACCGTATATAAAGATATCCTTATAATACCTTAGCTAGTTATTGTATAAACGTTTAGTAAAGCTTTTATAGCCTATAATCCAGATCTAGTCTTTACTTACCCGGGTTATCTACTACTTCGCCGTGGGCGGTACGGTATATCCTTATTACGGGCGTTTAGTGCCTAATAGGCCGCTCGTGGCGGTTATAGCGCTAGCTATATTACCGGCGGCGGCTAGGGCGTATACAGAAATCTAGAGTCCGGCCAGAATATCCGCGGTGCGGCGGTCTCTAGGTATAGGCTAAACCTAGGCGGAGCTAAGATAGTTAAGGATTTACTTAGCGTGGGGAATAATATACCCCGGGTAGTTAGATATCTTATTAAAAAAGTCCCTATTATCTATTTACTTAGCGTGACGGAGCTATATAATCTCTACTAGCTTATTAACTAGGAGCGCTAGTTTCTATAGTCTTGGTATTATTATAGCAGGGATAGTAATATTACCGGCGGAGCGTGTAGGAGTATTACCGCCGAGTATTAAAGGAATATTACCGGTATAATAGGGTATAGGTAATCTGGCTAGCGTGACTATTACGCTTAGGCGGCGGTTAAAGGGGGGATTAAGTAAGAAACGACTGTTAGGGCCTTAAGGGGCGTTCCGGCGAGCTATTTCCATAAGGTACTCGTCGAATATTTAACTTAGCTAGGGCTACTACTATACGTTAAGGTTATTTTAGAGGAGAAATAGAGGCTAAGGGTAAATAGATATAAGCTACTTAGCTTTACCTATTATAATATAATAACCGGCCTCTCCGTATAGTACGAATACTATACGACGTAGCCCGCGGTTACGAGGATTATCGTAACCGGCCGTGACGGCTTATTAGCGGTAGTCTTAGACAATATCCGCGTTATTCTTACGCTACATAATAACGCTTTACTAACCGATAGGAGGCCTTTAACTAGTAAGCTTTTATTACCCTATTAAGTAATTACCCGGAAGTAGCCTTCGAAGGTAAAGCCTTCGCCTATCTTACCCCTCCCGAAATATTTCTCGAATTTATCCTTATACTCTAAGTCTCTAGACCTTAATTTATCCGAGGGGTATTAGGCGATAAACAAACAACCTATTTATACTATTAAAGGATACTTAGCAACGCGTCCTTAAACGAAATATAAAATGAGTGTATACTTAATATAATAAGGAAATAACAGGGGGATAGCCTTTATATAGTATAAGGGGAGTTTACTCGAGCGAATAGGGGGAAGAAAATATTATAAGGCTTTTAGGGAATATAGTCTAACGGATAGAGGAGGGATAGTTATTATTATAATAGTCCTGCCGAGAATTTTATAACCACGGTTATAAGCGGTCTAGCTAATCTAGTAGAATAACGCGGTTTAGCGTGCCGGTGATATACCTACTATTTATAGATTAGATAATAACCCTCGCGCTTTCCGCCCGAGCTTAAGGCCGTTTGCTATACGTAAATAGCGCGTAGTTACCTCGGGTGACTCAGGTTCTTTATTTAATACCTGATAAGGCTATGAGGCTATACTAGAGCCTTTTAAAGGTTCTTTGCCTCGAGTCTTCTTTAACCTATCGGTTTTTTTAGTATTTCCTGCCTATAGTATACTCGGAGCCTCCGCTTTCTTTAAGGCTATCCTTGGATTAACTAAGGTCTTTATCCTTCCTTAAAGGCGTTTATTAGCTCCTATGTCTTTATAGCTTCTTCCGATGTCTAAATATTCCGGTAAACTAGCTATTCTTCTATTATACTAAGTACTTAATCCGTGGCTAATTACGTCCCTCGCGTGTTATCTAATTTTACGGTGATTATATAGGTCTTGCTATTAGCCGGTAGTAATTAAACCTTAGCTACATAATAACGTCCGGAAGAAGTCTAAGAGGAATTTATCGGTGATAGCTAAGAAAGTCTAATACTCCTATAGATAGTCTATAAATTAATATCCCTAAGTATTTACCCCGGGCGATAAAAGCCCTGCGTTCCGCGGGCGTCCTTTAACGGGGAATAGTAACCGGTAACGCCGTATAGTGGCTACTTAATAACCGTGGGCGGTAATAGTATTTATAATAGGAAGGAGAGAAAGGAAAGGAAAGAAGGGAAAGGGAAGAAGGGAAAGGAAATAAGTACACCGCTAGGTAATAATAAGGAGCGAATAATAAGGGTTATAGGGAACTAAATAGGATAGTAAGCGCTAAGGGAAACGGGATAGAATAGAATAGCGAGCGCTTAGGCGAATAGAATACAATAGGAAAGAAAAAAAAAAGGAAAAGGAAAGGAAATAAGAGGCGTCTACGTTATAAAACGACGGAGATATATTTAGGGTAGATAGAACCACGATATTCGCCTAGGGAATAGGTCCGTGTTCGGATCCTTGGCCGGTAGTAAGGCGAGGAACCTAGGGTAGAGATCTCTACCGTCTAACCGTCCGGGAATACCACGGCCTTCCACGGCGTTTAGAAGTCCGATAAGAGCTTAAGGTCCTAGTCGGAAATAATAGCCACGGCGGTGTATATACTATAGTCCGTGGATAGGTATAGGGGCTATAGTAAACTTATCGGCGGTCGAAGGCGAGTCTACTATAGGGAAGCCCTCCCTCTAATAGGGAGGATAAGCCGATAGGGCCTCGGGTATAGGGATTCGTCTTTAGTACGGATACTAGTTTACGCTCTTCCTCTTAGGGTTATTACGCCGCTAGCCTTAGTTATTCTTAGTATATTTAGCCATTTTAGTTAGTTAGCCCGCGCTAGGAGGAAAACGTTCTCCGCGAAATACGGGTAAAGGGAAGATTACGGTAAGGGGAGGTTAGCTCCCTTTATACTACGCAGGAAAAGGGGGGAAAAATTATCGAGCGGCTTAGTACTATAGTAGAAGGGGGGGTTATTAGAAGGTATTAGAGCTCGGAATCAATTCACGGTAAGTACTAGTATATAGGTTAGTATAGTCGCTATTCTACGCCTTAGCTAGCGACCGTGGACTCCTAGTACTATACGCCTAGACCTATTAAAGGGGAGGCGATTATTAGGGAGTTAGCGTACCTCGTGGTTCTATCAGGACTCGGGTTCTATAAAGGACGCTAGTATATAGGATAGTATAGTTACTATCCTACGCCTTTTAGCGATTATTATAAACGGTTAGCATTAGTATAGGTCGGTATAATCGTCTACACCGACTAGTAATTATTAGGAAGGTTATCGCGGTATCGGAGCTCGGGTTCCACGGTGGGTGCTAGTACAGGTTAGTATGGTCACTATTCCTACGCTTAACTAACGACCGTGGGTTTCTTTATCACTCCACGTCTAAAACCATTAAAGGGGAGGCGTTTTCGCCTAGCGCGAGTAGTCGTATCTGCCGGTATACTACGTGCCTATTTAGTCTTAGTAGACTTAGTTCGCGATAGCGACCGCTAGTATACTACGTGTCTATTTAGTTTTAGGATATATAGTCTACGCCAGGCGGCGGTATACGAACCTTACCTGAAAGCTTAGTTACTACTATTTAATAAGCCCTATCTAGGTAAATCCCTGGCTAGCTAGTACTATTGGACCTAGGGCTTGTAGGGTTTAAAAGGGTGACCTTTACTCTAGTATATAAGAGTAGAATAAAGATATCTTGACTAAACTAAGGGGCGAAGGGCGCCGGGGATATATATCCTTAGCGGGCCCGGACTATCTATCTTCCGGTTCCTATACGGACGTATAATTCCAGCTCTATCCGGACGTATAGCTCCGGCCTAAACGAGCGGATAGCTTAGGCACTATACGTGTATATAGTGCCTACCCATCGTGGTCGAATCACCGCGGGACTTGGTCGGACTCTATTAAGCCTAGAAGGACTTTAACCTCTTATATGCCCCCCTAGCTTACCATTATGTAATTATAGTCGACCGGCCCCCTTATAATACTAGGACATATCGACTTAGTATTAAGAAACCTAATTAAGGGCCTTATAACTCTAGCCGATAAGGCTATACTATATTACTGCAGGGGTACCCCTAGACTCGTATTTACCCCTTAGTAGAACGCGGAGCTTACCGCTTTTACCTAGGAAATAAGGCGCCTTTACTATAGATATATATCTGGGAAGTCCCAGAGCCTATAGGATAAGTTCTAAGAAGCGGAGAGGCGCTAAGATAAGGCCGTGGTGGTAACGAAGCGGCTATACTAATAGTACCTACTCTATATAACCGAGAAGAACAATAACCTTCTCTAGCAATTATGGAAATAGATATAAACTAAAGGGGGAGTACCACTAAACCCCTTATCGATACCGCTATTACTCTAAGATAGGATTAATAACCTAGCCACTATATACGTACAGAGAGCCGAAGTCCTTAACCCCCCCTTGTCCTTGCTGCCCTTAAGCCCCTAAGCGCGGAATTTCCCCTGAGATAGGATATCCGCCACGATATTACTATAATAGATATATAGGAGCGCCTTAAGAAGACTAAACCCTAAGCGGTACTAAGGCCTAATAGGCTCTTAGCAGGGCTCCTAAAAGTATATAGAACCCCCTTATACTAAAGACTAAACAGTATCTTTATAGCGTGCCTTAAAGTAGGCTATTACCCGAAATAGTACCACTACGCTACTATAGTAATCCTTAAGAAAACAGGTCGGCCGCCGGCCGAGTATAAGATAGTAAAGGGCTAATAACGATATTACTCCTTAGTATAATAGGTAAGGTCCTTAAGGGGATACTAGCTAAGTATATTACTATTATAGCGGAGGAGTATCGGATCCTCCTAGAGGGATAAATAAGTAACCGGACTAGGCGAAGTATAAAGATACTAGTATAAAAAGTCATAAAGGCTATAAGGGTAAGCTAGATTTATAGTAGCACCGCTTCGATACTTTAACTAGATATTAAAGGCGTCTTTAATACTATCCTTTACTCTCGCCTCCTTAAGGTACTTAAAACGAAAGGCTTCCTCTAATAGGTTATTACCCTAATTAGTAGCTTCCTCTAAGACTTCATAGCTTAGCTATTACTTAATAGCGAAATAGCCCCCCTATAATACCTTTATAGGGGTATAGTATAAGACTCCCCGATCTCTCCTATTCTTTTTATTCTCTATATCTCTACCCTTTATAAACAGCTAGAAAGAGTCCTTAAAACGATAGTAGTAGGTTTTACTAATAACACGAATATTATTACCTTTAGCAGGATAAAGGTATAGACACGGTACCGCCTTGCTACCGCGTAGCGAACCTACATAAATTAGGAGATAACGAGCGGACTATAATTCGAACTAGCTAAGTATATCTATATCCCCTTAACGAAGTCACGCTAACCCTCTTTTACCCCGCTCCCCCTTAGCGTTACTTTAGTACCGTTAACGGAGGCGATATGGCTTTTAGGCATTTAGCTTCATAGGAAACTTAACTTCCGACGATATACTAAAAAGATAAAAAGCTAACTAGCTACCGAAACATACGCCCTTTTAAGGCTTAGCGCGGTAGCGTAGGGGTATAGCTTTAAAGATATAAAAAGACTATACCTTATAATAATAAGACTAGTCCTTACTTATTACGCCTTAACTGTTTATAAGATAAAGGCCGGCCCCCGGTATAGCCCTATAGCGGCACTTATAGCGGTATAGAACCGATACCTCCGACTAGTAGCCGGAGCCTATAAGACTATACCGGTTAGGGTCCTTGCAAATAAGACCTTTATCTCCCCCCCTAATCTATACCTCTTAAGCCTAAGTACCCGGAATATTCTTCGGATATAAGAAAAAGGGACCGAAGATAAGATATTAGCCGGAGTATACGCTATAGTAAAAGCCTTAGCGATACCGAATCGGTATTATAGGACCTATACTACCCTCGCGTAGATAACCTAACTTACCGCCCTAATAGCCTAGGCCAGAACCTCGCCCCCGAGGATAGCCTTTATAAGGGAATAGGGTTACGCCTAAGTGGAAGCATAGCGGCCTTATACCTACGCCGTAGCGGTACTAAGCCGCCCCCCGATATAACGCTCCCTCCGGAAATATAAAGAACTCCTTAACCGATAAAGCTCTATACTTACCTAGATTAGACTAGAAAATCTAGGCCTATACGCTTTCTTAGCTAAAGTAAGGGTACTGGAATTCCTAATAACATAGTATCCTTATAACGATAAAGGGGTAGAAATAGCAGAGTATATAATACTTTAGTACTAGGATATAAGCGAGGATAAGCGTAAAGAGCTTTTCTGATATGCCGGAAGACTATACGCACGGATGGTCCTTGCGCGCCGGGCACTATATGAACGTATAGAGCCTATTAACTAGTACCTAAACGAACGTTTAGGGACCGGACTAAGATTCCTAAACGCGCGTATAGCCCCGAATATTAGGAATAGACCGGTCGTATAGAGAAATAGATAGTCCGGGGCTCGCCGAGGATATATTCCCGGTAGGCTCGCCTTTAGATTAGTAGAGGATATCTTTATTACACCCTATTTTCTATACCAAAAGGTAGTTATTCCGAACCCTTAAAGCCCTAGGTCTGATAGTACTGGCTGGCTAGAGATATACCTGGATAGGGTATATTAAATAATAGTAACTAAGCTTTTAAACGAGGTTCGCGTACCGCCGCTTAACGCGAAACGATATATCCTACGACTATATAGATATATAGTATACTAATAGAATTATACAATTACTAGCGTACCGGGCGAAGACGCCTCTCCTTTACTAGACTAAGGCGTGGAGTATATAAGAACCACGGCCTACTATTTATACGTAGGATCGGCGATTATACTAACTCTACTAAACCAAAAATCCGCCGTAGAACCTAAAACTCCGCTATTATAACCGATATAAACCTCCTTAACGACTATCTTTATCCGCGAAGCGCTAAAAGCGCGAAAAATCTTATTAAGTTCTTAGATAATTTCCCGGACCCTATCGCTAATCTCCTTATGCCCGAAAATATAGCTGTACTTAATATAGTTAGGAGGGCCGTATACGCCTCAGGGATAGCCGGCGCGAGCGGCCTAACCTTAAAAGGAAGAATGTCGTAATCGGAGTCTATATCCGATATATCCTACCTAAAGAAATAGATCCGAAGACCGGATAACTTCGTAGACGCCTTCGAAAAATAGCGTAATAGAGAACCTACTTATAAGGAGATCCTAGCAGGTATAGGAGAAGCCCGCGATATTAAGGGGAAATAACCTATATAACTGTTTACTATTAGTCCCGCTCCTTATACAGGCGAGCTAGATCCCGAGGCTAATCTAATCGACTATATTAGAGGGAGCCTTACTAGTATTAGCCTTACTAATACTAGCCTTACTAGTGTTAGCTCTATTAGTACTAGCTTTACTCTATCTAGCTCCGCCTAGCTTAATATAATAGGGCTTAGGATATAAGAGCTAGGTAATTAGCATTACCTTAAGATTATAGGAGAGCTAGGGGAACTGTTATTCACTATAATAAAGCTTACCTCGCTCCTTATCCGTCCTATTATAAAGTCCACGGATAAGAAGCCTATAATTAAGGAGGAAGAACTAATATACTCCTTAAATAAATCCTCCTTATACTAATCGTCTGTATTCTACGTATCTCCTACTAAGACAATTATTCGCTATTCGAACGCTATAGAACGCTAAACGTCTAACGCCCTTAGCCGGGCCTTTTTAGCTAATTACCCGGTTAACTCCGAGAGTATAGTATTTAGGGCTCCCGGACCTAGCTATTAAAATATTCGCTAAAGTATTAGACTACCGGATAAAACGCCCCCCCCTCCTCCGGCGCTTACTTAGCCCCCTCTTATAGGCGGAGACTAAACGTATATATACCAATCGGACCTACTAGCTATTATCGGCGAACTCTGGCGCGGATTATAGTTATAGTAACCCTAGGTTTATTTTAAGACGGATAACCTTAGATACTTCGACTTACCGGAATACTTTACCGTTACCTAGGATATCTATACGGAAGGTACTAAGCTAGTCTTCCTTAACGTGTTCCGTTTTACGGATATTATAAAGTAGTATACCGGGATAAGCCCCGGGTATAGCGAAGCCTTTACCCGCGGTATCTCCTACTACCCACTAAGTAAAGCCTTTAAATAGCCAATAACTATAAACCCTAGACTCCGCGAATAGTATAATAAGAACGCTACCCTAAAGAACTAGAAGGATAGTTTAAAGAGCCGGTTCCGGCTCCTACGCGAAAAAGCTACGTACCGATTATATAGGGAAAAGTATATCCTAAAAAACGTTATAAACCGCTATAATATCCGTGTATTCGCTAATAGGGTCGCCTTACTCGCGAAGGCTACTAATAAACCCTAGGGAAAGCTCTTATCTATTATTTAGGATAAGCTTAACGCTAACCTAGCCGTAACTATAGTCCGACCGGGACCTAAGGTAAAGTTAGCCGACTTCCTAAATTCCCTAGTAAACCTAATACTAGGATAGTACCGGAACTATACTTAAGGAGTTTAAAAGTATTATATTAGCCGATATAGCCTCCCTAAACCGGACCGTGGAATATATAGCGCTCTATTACCTATTATAGTAGTTTAGTAACCCGCGCCGCGATATTACGACTAACGCTCTAATCTAACGCCTAAGCGCCGCCGTATACCGTAACCTAACCGCTATTCCCTTAATCCTAGCTAGCTCCGTCGCTGAAGCGAGAATCGCGCGCTACCTACGCTAAACGCTAACTGTTATATTAGGATTAAACCAAACCCCCCCCCCCCCGGTCCCCCCGGAAAGAACTTATGCGACGGCTATCGTTTATCCCGTCCTTAATAGCGGCGACGATAAGGCCCTTCTATAACTAAATAGCTATGTTATAGCCCGCAGTAAGAATATTATTATAATAATGACTATTATACCTAAAGTAAAAGGCGCACTTAGCGGAATCGGCACTAAAATACCGATAGGACTTAAAGCGTATAGTCGATATCTTACTACTAGAACTAGTCTTAGCTAGTTAGCTAGTATAGCGAGAGTAAGGGTCTTTAAGGGTTAAGCCCCCGGAAGCCCCTTCCCTAATATCCACCACCTCTTAATAACAGGTAAAGGATAATAACGATGCTATAATTATCGTAGTCTTACGCTTCTTAGAAGTATTACTAGCTACTAGCTCTAATACAATCCGTTTATTATTAGTATTATTATTAGTCTCCTTAGGAGGTATAATAGCGGTTAAGGAAGCTATATAGGATAGTTAGTAAAGCTATATAAGTTAGTCTTCCCCCTAGGATAGAGATATATTAAAAGCATACTTATAAGATAATAGGAAATATCGGGAAAATAAGGGCACTATAATATATTAATAACTATTACGCCCTGCTTCTATAAGGAAAACACTATAAGAGTTAACTTACAGAATAGAGCGGACATCGATAAAATCGAAAATCGGAGGCGTAAAGAAGAAGGAACACGAAAGAGAATAGAGTTATAGCGGCGTTAAGGAAGATATGCCCCTAGAAGGGTATATAATCACCGTTCCTGCCTATAAAGAAGGTATAGTGGTAAAAGGGGTATAAGAAGGAAGGAGATATATTTCTATTTTTAGATATATTATATAACGGCGCCGGTTCTTTATATAGATTAAGGGGATATCGGCGCCGGTTCTTTTTATAGATTAAAGGGATATCGGCGCTCTTTCTTTATACGGATTAAAGGGAGGCCGATACTAGCTATAGTATAGGAGCGAGGGATTAAGGATAGGACTATAAAAGGACTATAATAGGGCCGTGTATAGGATTAATAATAGAAGGACGGTGGGAATATAGGCCGACGCCGGGTATAATCGGGAAAAGTAGTCCTATCCGGTACTAGCCGCTCTTAAGGATAGGAGTACTCCGGGGGAGGTTACCCTATTAGGTGCCCCTGCCTAGGAGATAAAGGCCGGGTATACGACGGGACTATAACGGGTTCCCGTATAGATAAGACCGGGCTCCTATCTTATCGTGGCCACGGCTACCCTAGGCTAATACTGCTATATAGAGCTATAGCCTAGGTTT